AAATTGACTGTTGGCATGATTTGCCCAGTACTAGCCATGCACAACATTGGATTTAGAGGGGGAAAGGCAGAACAGAAAGGACTGAGAGGATATTAGCTCGCCCTGTTGTCACCTCTCAGCCCTCTGTGGCAGCACCATGAAGTTGCACATTCCCATGTCAACCCTACAGCTCCTCTTTGACTTCCAATCCCAGGTTCTGCCTATGGGCAGCAGAGAGCAGTTATGGCACTGCACCAGAGCCAAGAATAGTGCATCTTTACCTGTGTGAAGACCTGCACTGCAGGCTCTGCTCCACCATGTCACTTGAGCCTCTCATTTCCCACGTTGGCAGTTTCCATTGTGCATTTGCATAGAAGCAAGGCCAAGCAGATTCTCACTGTTTAGCAGCAGCCCTATTTGCACTTGAAGAATTCATTACAATATTTTATTTGTATGTCAAACTTTCCTGTAAGAAGCTTTTCCAATTAATAGGGGTAGTTCTACCAGGCAGTTGAATATGTCTATTTCATAATGAGCTGATATCTAGATAACTTCACATGTCGTGAAAGACACTTTTCCCACAAGTTGTCACACTGATTGATGAATTAATAGCAGGTTCTTAATCTCAAATAAGAGTTATTCAGGCGCTGATCCCAGCAGCAGTTTAGTAATCTAGGATGGCAGTTTTAGCATCTTGCACAGCTCAAGATTCTTTTTACTGACATTTTACTTCATTTAAAGGAAAAGGTAGGGACACTGGTTACTTAGGCCCATGCCCTTATTCAACAGTTTAAGGAATGGAACACACCATCTGCCTTTCACAAATTTTGCTGCATTTGTATCCTAAGCTAGAAAGTTCCCTCCCCTTTCTCCTTATCCTTTTACTCAAAGGATAATTCTCCAAAAATGAAGGGTTCTGCACTTACACATACCTAACCAGTGTATCTTAGCTGAATAAGGAAAGGTTGTGGCAGACTTAGCATGCAACGCATTTGGATATTGAGTACACAACAGGACCCCTGGGTAAAATATTCTACACAAATCTTTTGTTGTTGAGCAAAACACGTAGGGATAAGTACTGGCTTTCCATGCAGAGAGCTGAATGAAAAGTTGTGCTTGAAAAGAACATGGGATAGGAGATTGGAGAACGAAACCTGTTGACTTCAGCCATTCTGCATTTGACTACCTCCTAACTGACTACCTACCTCTATAAAGGCAAGTCCTCAATGGTAATAAGTCTTGTTACCTATCTGGCAACAGAAGAAAGATTTCCTTTCTAAATCAAGGAACAAAATATGTAAGGTTCATGCTACAGAGATCTGGTTTACTCCATTGGTTTCAGAGAGCTCGGTAATTTTGGAAGTGTAGCTGTCAACTACTTCTCACATAAAAACATAGGCTGGCAATTGAAAATTCAGGGAACCCGAACTATAGCTATGCAATTTTCTGATGGATATCCCTCACTGCTCACAGATGTCCACTTGGAACAGGTCAGGTCCCTAAGAGTAAAAGGGATGGACTATGTTTGTTATATAGAACTGCTGTTATCCTAAAAAACAGTCTGGAGAAAGTTACAAGTATGTCCATGCAACTCATGTACCCAAGAACAGTTAAGTAAGCGTTTCCATATTTATGACATCCAATGAGGATAAAAAGAAAGCAGATAGTATTTTTTCCTAATATTTTAATAGCTTCTTCTATTTTGTCATTTTTATAAATGGTTTATTACTCATTTTGGTCATCAGTATTTGCAGTTCTCAGCTGGGAGTCATCCAGTGAAATCTACAAGTGAACTCTCCCTTTCAACTGTTCACTACTCGCAGTCTTTTAGATCCCATTTCCATGGAAACAAGCTGAATGGTAAAAATAAAGAGAGTTTTAAAAGTTTTTTTAAATTCCCTTATACTATCTCCAGTGAGATGATCTCCATAGAAATGAGATCAGGAGGGTCTAAGCTAGGAAACAATAGAGAAGGACCTGCACTTGGCATGCCCAGCCGCGGGCTGCCACGTGCAAATGCAGACTTAAACATCTAGCAGCTGTAGTGACATTCAAGCAAAACCAGCTATACTACATAACAGAGTTGCAGAAAAAAATTTTCTCTCAAATTAATATGCTTAGAAAATGAACGTTTTAAAAACATAGTTGGCATTTAAAACATGACACTGAAAACAGCAAGACTAAAGCATATTAAAAAGAACTACAGAATTACTGTAAATTAAAGGTATCGAGTTAATAGTTTTCCCCATTCCCTCTAACTCATTTTTCTTCACCTCCACCTTTTTTTTTTTCCAAGATCTACAACTCTGTATGTGAAAATAGATGTTCAGACCTCCAAAGCTCATTAAGTGATAATATTGAACTTATGAAATGTGCATATTTAAAAGAAAGGAGAGAAAAAAAGCAGACAAAACTCCACAGCTATTCATGTATTTCCTAGCAAGTACAAGTTGGCATAGCTAGCAAAATAAAACAGCAATTAAACTACTTACAGTCTTACATTTAAATCAAGCTGATTTAAAGTTGCTTAGGAATGCATATAAATACATAGCATGCATTAGATTAACTCTGTAGAACTGTAACTACAATTGCAACACAGGTTTAGAGGAAAACATGACATCTGTTTCCTACATAGGCAGCAGCATGTAGGCACAGACTATCACAGTTGACAGCAAACCCCTCATAAAAATCTGTAGAAGTAAATGTAATTAAAAGGGAAGAAAAATCAGAACTAAAAAACATTAAGTAAAGAATAACTAGGGAAATATAAACAAGAGAGTACAGGAAAGAAAGTGGCAGATTATTCTGTGTTCTCCAAATGCAAGCGTTAATAGGTCTTGGGCTGTGGAACAGCTGCTCTACGGCTGAAGTGGCCAGGATGACTCAGAAGGCTGTTAATGCACTCAAAATTGAAAATCCAAAGCAGTGAGTCGCTCTTCTGTTATTTACATGAAGCACTGAATACTGAACAACCATGAGGATGAACTGCTCCAGATGATCCAACTTTACTCTGATCTGGAAACTGTTCTGGTTCATTGGAATGTTTCCTTCAGGCAAGCAAGACTAGGATCTGGTGAGATTTGGGGGATGAGCCCTGGAATTCAAGCGAGACCAACTTCAGATATATGAACTAATTGACTCTGCCTTGGGGATTAGCCAGTGTAGAACTTTAGGATCAGAAGGCAAACTACAACAGCCCTGCTCTAGCTTTATGGAGCGCATTGTGGCTGTTCCAGAAAAGGGAGTCACAGGTCCTGAACGTGGACCTTTATGCATATACTAGAGAAGATCAAGATGCCAAGAAACATGTTTACATTTCAAAACAAGTAATCTGATGTAGGCTTCAAACTACTGCGGCAGTCAATCCATTTGACGAGACCAGAATCTAGACAGCAGTATCATAATGCACCAATGAAAAAAGTTACTCATGGAATAATGTTTCTTCTGTCTGGATATGGCAGAGAAAGTATGAAACAGGAGCCAGAAATAATAATACACCTTTCCTTCCATTCTAGATCACAAGAAGGCAAAGCACATTCAGAAGAGGGATACATAGAAAAATGGGAAGAAAAGCAAAAAGAATTTACATATATATGCATACACATGAAGGCTGTTTATTATAAGCTGATATATAACTGAAGCCAACCACTAACGTATAAAATGCCATTCCAATACTCTGGAAGACTATTGTTTCCCTGAATGCGTTATGGACTATAAAAGACTCGAAGACTTGCACCAAGGATCCACAAGGATAGCATGCCAGACTGTAATTTTCTTTTTAAATGAGACACACTAGTAAAACCTCAGCAGGTGGTGAGAGATTCCACAATTCAGTGGTGAAAAGTGCTGCTGATCACCTTTCCAGGGGTATCTTATCCCTATGTAATGCAACACTTCCGACGTATTGAGAATTGAATGGAAAGTGAGAGCGGAAAGTGAGAGCAGAAAATCTACCCCTTTTCAAGATACTACAGATCTTAGCACTCAACCCTGCTGCGTGCCCTTCAAAAATCTGCCTATGCGCCATCTCTGGGACCTGCGCCACAGCTTGCTGATCTCTGTTTTACAGAAGAAATACTAATAAAATAAATATATAAAAATGCTGCTTTACAGGTATCTGCTACCATAACAGAGCTGGATCTAGCTAATCCTAAGAGTTGTGTGCTACAATTAGCAGAGAGGCTGCCAGCAGCTGCAGAGTCCCTCTGCTAAGGCAAAGCTCTGAATAATGCTGATGCTGGCAGGCTAACAAGAACAAGAGGCTAGCAATCCTCACTTGGCTGAATGAGACTTATGGGACTGACTAAGAATACATGCAGAATGCCATAGCTCTAAACAGTGATGCTTTACGTGATGAAATACATGGGTCTTGTTGCAGAATAACTGATGTGTGTACCTAAGAAACAGATTTTGTCACCCATTAGTAAGTAATAGATATCATGACTTAAAATACATAAATGTAAACACTTATACTTCCTTATAATTAGAATAAGACCAACAAGGACTGAGAAAAAAATTACAATTAAAAAATAAATAAATCAGACTGTAGGTATAGTTCAGTCAGGCTCCAATAGATATTAGCTGTTTAATAGTAGAAGACTTATTTCCTGCTGTGTTGCTTTATTTCCTGAATATATATATATCCATTTCCTGGACCAATCCTGGCTCTGCCCTTCCCAGCACCTAGTAGGATCAGAGTAACTGGAGCAGGACTATTATAATACTGCACAGCGAAGCCACCGTGCTAGGTACATTGGTAATGCTGCACAATAGCTGGCTGCATCAGTTACGTGGCCTTGGGGAACTTGTTGGGTCTCCAACATAGCAGAGATAATGTTATGGTAAACATTTGTGCATCCAGAGATATTTAGAGGCACAGAAAAACATAGACTAGAAGGACCGTTACAGAAAAAACATGAGCGATCTCTACATTTCTAGTTCAAAAATTTCTACAAATTCAGAGGTCACCTATTAATCTTACTCAGCTGCTTGTGACCAGCTCCATGCAGCCATGGCAGTACCGCACTGACTCTCGCCCAACAAGCCTCGTGGTACCGGAGCTGGTCCATAGACTCCCCTCCTGCCATGCCCCCATTTCCCATGCACCTCAACCCTACAAATTGGTTTGGCGTGCTGAGAAGACAGAATAACATCAGGGCAGGGAGAGATACCTGGTAGAAAATATTCTCAGCCCTCGGTTTGAGAGCTGACCTTGTCTGCTTTATGATTTAATGCATGCTGTATTACAAGTCAAGTGACTGCTTTTACCAGTTCACCCCTTCAAAAATTGTCCATTGCATCATCACAAAACTGACTTAAATGCACAAAGTTCCAAATATTAGCTCCCGCTTCCCAGGTTTTGAATCTTCAATTCTGACATCTGAAATTCCCCTTCAGCAG